ACAGGCGCTGTGCTGTTAACGGATATTGCAGCGCTTGCTGGCGTCTGGCTCGGATGGAGTCTCTCTAACAGCTTCCAGGAACGTGCCATTTTAACTGGCGCGTTTGCCATGCGCTCTCGGCGCACAAGCACTGGCAATCATCGAGCTGAATGCAAGTACATATGCAGCACAACCACGGCATGGTGTGTAAGATTAAAATGTGATAGTCGTTTAACGCCAGAATGCGTTGCACGGGAGAGTTCCTTGTAGGTCCTAACACAGTAGTTCGGTACAACTACAGCATTTTTTTACTACAGAACTTCAGAAAACTTGAGTTAAGTTGCTCAGTACTACAGTATGTTTGACTACGTCTAGGTAAACTACAGGCTTTAGTTGGGAAACTCGTCAGTACTAAAGCCCTATTCGTTATTTTTCAAAACACGTATTCAGGAAGTGCAGGACATATCGAGTTTATAGCAGATATGTGTCCAGAATTTTTGATCCGGTGTGCTATCTGAAAATGAATTATCATTTATTGATTCACAGGTAGAGTCGCTAATAACGGGACTTGTCGTTTTCTACACAATAGCAAGACAGTGATACAGAACATAGGATACATGATCATTGAGCAATGATGAAAGTAGCATCATCACTAACTGTAAACCAAATCATAGTTACAAAATCTGTTTGGCAACATTTTCTGCTATCTGATCAATGAGAGAGGAATTATTGCCGGCATTGTTGTGATCGGCTCCGGTCTGGACTCGATACGAGATTGTAAGATTGCCTATTTGGATGTGCTCCTTTCCTTTCCAGGTGTCTTGCCGCTTCCGACAGGGGGATCTTTGTGGACAAAAGTCGATATGATCGCCAGCCAGTATCAATGTCTGGATCGATCGAAAACTTGTATGTAACAAGCAGGGAAGGATAGTGTAGGCAGATCTGACCAATCTATAAATTAAGATCCAACGCCAAGAAGCTTGCCCCAACAAAAACTCGTTGACGTAGCGCTGATTTAAACCAACGCGCATGCTGTTGGCCACCTTCGTGTGATGATTCCACACAAGAATCATTTTCTCGTGGTATTCATGAAGGAAGATACTACACTGTACCATCCACCAGGATTCTTACAATACATCCTCCCAGTGGTTCAGCGTGGTCATTATTGAAGATTATGTCATCGTGGTCCACTCCATGCTGCAGATAACCTGTAGCAGTGAAGATGGGGAAACACCTCGCTCACCTGACAATCCTCGAAGACTTCTTCAAGACCAACACTGGCTCAAACGAGAGAGAGTACGAACTACAGATAAAGGTCTGGATTTTACATAAGGTGCTCCAAAAATACAGAGCATGGCACGTAACTACAGAAACAAATGACGGTGTACAGAACACAAAGCGTATACTACAGACGAGTAGTGTATTAATACAGCTATGAGATGCTTCGTACAAACTCCATTAATGAGAAACCGTGAATTTTATAATAGCAATGCAAGGTGCAAACCTAATAAAAAATTTTCCGGGCCTCAACCCTTTTCAGCATTCTAAAACCACCACCATCAGCAGCATGCGGCACAAGTACACGTAGAGCCTCACTCTCGCCTCTCACTCAGAAGTACAGCTAGAGACCTACCTGGACCAACAAAAATCCCGACTAGTTCACAAAAGCCAACTCGAAATTTGTCAAGTTTGCGCTGTGAACCTGGACATTCACCCTATGCGCTATACTGTGTTTACATGCGCCTCAGCCACGTGTAAAGCGATGTACCCACGTGGCTCGTGTAGTTGGCGCCTGAAAGTGCTATCATGTGGTGTTACTGACGACAGCAAGATATTCCAGCATGGAATACACATTTCTGCAGCACCCCGCTCACCCAAACCAAACAAGTTGAGTTTGTCAATGAAGCGTTTTGTCGTGGAGCAAGCTGTAGTGGGCCATAGACCTGCCCAAATACGGAACGATTTGATACTTCAATTTCACACGCCTGGAGTTGATCAAGACAAGCTGCTACGGACCGTTCAAAACGCTGTGCGCAATTACAGAAGGTCCGTTTTGCATGACAACGATTTCATTGACGAGATGGTAGCTTTGGCATCAAAAAATCGGTTTCGGGATGCAATGGATGATACTACGGCATTTGCGTTTGGATTCGACTTGGATCACAAAAACGAACCAATTCTAGGTCGTGTGGAGGGTGATGACCCATTGATTGTGGGGTTTGCTACGAAGTCTACCATCCGTCGCCTCGACAGTAGTGAAAATTTCATGCTTCATTTGAATGCAACATTCAAACTTAACAGCAAAGGCTATCCCGTAATAGTTATGGGTCTTTCCGATATGTGGAGACAATTCCACCCTATTTGCTTATTTCTGGTTTCCGACTTGAAACAGCCTCAATGGGAGAGTGTGTTACGGGCGGCAATTACGTTGTACCAGCGAATCTCCGGTCACCCACCTTGTATTAGTTTTGTGATGATGGATGTAGTCTCGGCACAGCGTAGCGCGTTCGAAATGGTAGCCTTACAGATGCTCAGAATGGATCAGCAGCCCACTTACATCATGTTTTTTTTCATGTGATGACCAATGTGCGTAAGAGAGTAATTAAGTTTACGGAGCAAGACAAGTCTATCGTCTATCGACACATCTACAGAATTCACTATGCGAGAACGCAAATGGAAAAGCAAACTCGGGTCAATGAAGCTCTAGATGCTTGGGATTGCAATGAGCATTGCCGCTCGTTCAAAGAATACTTTGTCAAACAATGGCTTACTGGGAGGTCTTCAAAGTGGCAGTGCCTCGAAACACCCATGGATATGGCAAAGACGAATAATCCAGTGAAAAATTTCAATCGCCAACTTAAAAACCAACACACCCTACGAAGGCTTTTGCGGTTGAATCCCCTGTTTATCGAACTACTAAAGGTTTGCAGTGTTCGAGCGATTTTAACGAAAGACATGGCACGGTCGACTCGTGCAGCGCCTCACATGGTTCGTTCCTACCGGAAAGCAATGTCAAAAAAACTACTGTGTGTGTCAAACGAGTCCGATGGGGTCATTTCCTCGGCAAACCTGCCCACAAACAGGAACTCGATCGCTTTTATCACTGAAAGCGTGGAAGATGATACTGAACGTACTCTGCCAACACTGAGATCTGCTGTGAGTGGAATTTGCGTTTATCACCGCTTAGAACTTCCCGAGGATCAAAGTCGTAGTGTTTCTGAAGAACGCTCGAGCTCCTTGACTGAGATTCAGAAACTAGGTGAAGAGGATAGAACAGACCTTCAGTATGAAGTTGAAGATCAGCCTTCATGGGGCTGGTACGTTACTGTAAGCGACGAATCGTGCACATGCAGAACTTTTTTCAAATTCGGCTGCTGCATTCACGTTTTAGCAGCCCTGCAGAAGCTTGGTCTACCCTTCGAGGAAACGCAGGCGCCTCGGCCTACCTATCCAGACAAGCGGGCAAAGAAAAAAAGGGGCCACCCAACAGAAGTCGGACATGCTTTGAGCCTGGAGTAACGAACGGCTACCATCACGCTGAGCCATAATACAAAATATACATGAATACATTACCAAATTACTGAGTTACAAGTTCCGGAAGAACTTGGATCCTGGCGTTCCAATCTCTACGGCCTTGAGTAGGTTGACCCCTAGTGTTTCGCACAGATCGTTTAAGATGTTTTTTAGCCTCATCGTAGTTATTCTTCACTTTAAGATGTTTTTAGCCTCATCGTAGTTATTCTTCACTTTGCGAATCTTTGTTTCGGCAAAGCTTGGTTCCGGCTGGTCGTAGTCTGGATCAGGTTCAAAAGCTGATACCCCTAGGAGACAAGAAAAAAACGCAGCTCACTCGGCGACTGACCGCATCAAATCCTTCTTCGGATGTCCGTGGGTTATCTTTCACCTTTGCCAAGACGATTGCGTATTTGATGCTCTCGAGTGTAGCCTGCATAACTCCCGCAAGACTGCCACCGTTGTACGAGTCGTGAATCCGCAGCATGTGTTCACTAGCCAGTACGTCGTAGTATGATGAACGAGCAATTTCCAGTCGCACAGTCCGATCCTTCAGTAGCTCCAGGTTGTTCGGGTTCAGCTCGTTCGCAATGTCGTCACTAACGTGAATGACCGGAGCAAGATGGTCTTGAGGGGGAGACCAGTTTTCCTCTTTATCCGCATTACTCAAAGCTTTATTGGCTTAGTATTCTTTGCTCGGATTCTCGAACCCCGTTTCCGTTCATCAAGGATTCCGTTCGTGCCTTCTGGAAACGTGTCGTCTGGGGTCTCTAGCATTCGACGCTTGCACTCTTTATCGCCAAGCTTATACCATGCTGAGCGAAGACGCATTCCACCCCGTCCACGCAAAAACTTGGAATCGCGCTCGATCTGCATAGAGTCGTCCAGCTCTAGTCGATTTATTGCGTATCGACGAGCGTAGTCATTTCCACCGGTTACGGCAAAATGCCATACCTCTTTATGCACTCGCATGATGACAACCGAAGCTTGGAGGATGGCACGAATGTGAACACAACAAAGTAAAAGTGATAAATTCATTCTGACTTCCAAGCATGAGATAAGATTCGAGTACAAAACTTGTTTTTAGTTTTCTTATATCCACATCAGATTCACGTCTCGGCGTAATTATGACACTATCCTTCATAATTATAGCCAACGGCAACAAATTCATGTCCTTATGGATTTTTCAAAACAAGTAGTATTTGGAGTGGTAGTCACGATCATCAGCTTAAATGCCAGGATTTAAACATGATCCGACGAAGGAAAATGATCC